ACAGCTACCCCAGTTGCGGCTGGTCTGGGCTGGGATGCCAGAGACGCCGCCATCGTGTCGTTCCACTCGGCGTCGAACTGCCCACCGTTTCGGCGCGAGCCACTCGACTTCGAGCCGCTCTCCTGCGCGTCGACCACGTCGGCGTACTGGAGGCCGAAGGAGTCCAGCGTCCTGGAGCGGCGCGCGCGAGGGGTGGGGGCACGGGAGCCAAGAATCGGATCGATAAGTCGGATCGGCGACCGACACAGATCGGATCGGCTGAAATCGGCAGCCATGTAGGTAGAAATCGAGCCAGCAAAAATCAGAAACCAATCAAACCTCCATTGAGAAACCGGAATCCAAATCGGCAGCCGAAGTCGAACCGGTATCGGAATCGAGAGAAAACGAAAGGTGGAGGGGGGAGGGCTTCTTGGAAGGCGGCTGCTTCTCAGAAGGCGCTGGCCGTGCATCTACAGACAAGGACCACGCCTTCTAAGGCTTAGAAGGCGCCAGGTCGTAGACCTGGGTACGAACCCAAAATCTCAAACGAATCTTGGACGCTTTTTGAACTTCAGAAATCTCAAACCCAATCTTGCCGCGAGAAAATATCCAAACGAATTAAGCAGCAGGGGTGATTCTAAGAAGATCCTCCCCCTCACCGCCCTCTGCGCGTGGCTGAAGCAATTCGAGTCGACGGAAGCTTCCAGGACGGCGCCTCGGGGCAGGCGGGAGGACCCCTGCGAGGCCGGGTGGCGTCTGCTCGGATGTAGGAAGAATCACGACGGCAGAAATACAGCTTACGTAGCACCCCGAGGTTGCGGATACGTGTGAGGGGGCGGCGGGGGCGGCGGCAGTCTGCGAGGCCCTGAGCAGGCGCCGAATCGTCACAAAGTATACGACGAGCCCGCCGCAGGCATCGATGTTTTGGTGAAGCAATGTGGGTGGGTCGCTGAGTCGCGGGTGGGTCGCGGGTGGGTCGCGGGCGGGTCACAGATGGGTCGCGGGTGGACGCTGGGGACATCGGCAATCTGCGAGAATCTGAAGAAGCCCGCCGCAGGCGCCCTATAACGAGCCCGCCGCAGGCGCCGATTTTCTCGTTCAAGCAATGTAGGTGGGTCGCGGGTGGGTCTCGGGTGGGTCGCGGGTGGGTCGCGGGCCGGGTCGCGGGTGGGTCGCGGGTGTGCCGCCGGTGGGTCGCGGGTGAGTCGCGGGTGGGTCGCGTGTGGGTCGCGGGTGGGTCGCGGGTGGGTCGCGGGTTGGTCGCGGGAGGAACGACGACAACAACACCGCAGCGCAGCGCAGCGCAGCGCAGCGCAGCGCAGCGCAACGCAACGCACCACCACCACCACCACCACCACCACCACCACCACCACCACCACCAACAACAACAACAACAACACCAACACCAACACCAACACCAACACCAACACCAACACCAACACCAACACCAACACCAACACCACCAACAACAACAACAACAACAACAACAACAACAACAACAACAACCATCAATTTACCCTCATGCGCGATGTTTCCACACGAAGCGTGCGACCAGCATGATAACCATGCACATCATGGGGGATTATTGTTCTATAGCGGGATCCGTTATTCCCTTTCCCAGATCTCTCGCCCAATTCAATGAGGTCTTGCAAACACATCCTCCGAGGAATTTCAACATATCCCGCATCGAAAGAACATGCCCGCGCCTTGCTGCGAGACCGCCACTGGAACCCCAGCGAAGGGTAAAGCACAAGGAAGTATCGAACAACAGGATTGCGTTGGTGGGGATGGGGGATGTCGGCGGTGAGGCAAGGACCTGGCCCTGAATAGAAAGGGAGGAAGCCTTGAGCAGGGCTGCTGTTGTTGCTGGGAGCGGCGCCAACGCTGAAGAGAGTAGGGCGCTAGTCCAGCGTCAAATAAAACGAAGTCTCGAGCGGGAACGCTGGCTTTGTTGGGACGGCGGCTTTCGGCGGCGAGAAGGAACACCGCCTTGAGTAAGAAAGGAGGAAGGATCGAGCGGGAGCCGTGGTTTTGTCAGAACGGGAGCTGTCGGCGGCGAGGAACAGCACCGTCCCGAGGAAAAAAGGAAGGACATCTCGAGCGGGAGCGTTGTTCTTGCTGGGAGCGGCGCCAATTCAAAAGAGAGTTGGGCGCCAGTCCAGCTTAAAACGGAAGCAAGTCTTGGGCGGGAACGCTGGTCTTGTCGGGGCGGCGGTTTTTGGCGGCGAGAAGGAACACCGCCTTGAGTAAAAAAGGGAAGAAGCCTCGAGCGGGAGCGTTGCTTTTGCTGGGGGCGGCGCCGATGAGAGAAAGACTAGCGCGCCAGTCCAAGGTAAAACGGGAGGAAGTCTCGAGCGGGAGCGCTGATTGTGTTAGGACGGCGGCTTTCGGCGGCGAGAAGGAACACCACCTTGAATAAGAAAGGAGGAAGGATCGAGCGGGAGCCGTTGTTTTGTCGGAACGGGGGCTGTCGGCGGCGAGGAACAGCACCGACCCGAGGAAACAGGGAGGAAATCTCGAGCGGGAGCGTTGTTCTTGCCGGGAGCGGCGCCAATTCAAAAGAGAGTTGGGCGCCAGTACGGAAGCAAATCTCGGGCGGGAGCGCTGGTTTTGTCGGGGCGGCGGTTTTTGGCGACGAGGAGGAACACCGCCTTGAGTAAGAAGGGAGAAAGCATCGAGCGGGAGCCGTGGTTTTGTCGGGACGGGGGTTGTCGGCGGCAAAGAACAGCACCGTCTTCAGGAAAAAGGGAGGAAATCTCGAGCGGGAGCGTAGTCTTGCTGGGAGCGGCGCCAATTCAAAAGAGAGTTGGGCGCCAGTCCAGCTTAAAACGGAAGCAAGTCTCGGGCGGGAACGCTGGTCTTGTCGGGGCGGCGGTTTTTGGCGGCGAGGAGGAGCACCGCCTTGAGTAAAAAAGGGAAGAAGCCTCGAGCGGGAGCGTTGCTTTCGCTGGGGGCGGCGCCGATGAGAGAAAGACTAGCGCGCCAGTCCAAGGTAAAACTGGAGGAAGTCTCGAGCGGGAGCGCTGATTGTGTTAGGACGGCGGCTTTCGGCGGCGAGAAGGAACACCATCCCTGAGCAAAAAAGGAGGAAACCTCGAGCGGGAGCGTTGTTGTTGTCGGGGGGCCGGTTTTGGCCGTCCCCCAAACCGCTCGAGCTTGAGGCTCATTTTCACTGAAAATGTAGCCGGCGCCTCGGCGAGAGCGCCAAAGCGCCTTTAAAGGGTCCAACAATAATAATTCAGTAATAAACATTCAACATCAGCAACAACATCAACAACAATCAGTTTAAGACTGTTTGCTCTTACTGGCACGCGTCTTGCATTTCGTATACCCCAGCCTTCGATACTAGCCCACTTCGTCTTCGATTGCTCCCCCTTTCCGGGGGAATCTCTTCCTTGTCGGCCACTGACTAAAGTGCGAGGAAGTCTAAAGCGAGAGCGCCATTCCTGAGTTTGGGGGCCTCACTGGCCAGGGGCTCTCGGAAAATCTATGGAGAAATATTGAAGGGGAACCCTTGTCGCCGTGTCCGGGCATCCACAAACTTGCCTGAATTGCGAGAAGGTCTCGAGCGAGAGCGCCGCTCCCGAGTTCGGGGGCCTTCGGGGGCCTTCTTGGCCAGGGGCTCTCGGAGTAAACCGTGAGGAAGTATTGTGCGGGAGCCCTTGTCGTCGTGGTTGGGCCTCCGCCAACTTGATAGAATTGCGAGGATGCTTCGAGCGAGATCGCCGTTCCTGACTTCGGGGGCCTCTCTGGCAAGGTTGTCTCGGGGTAAATTGTGAGGACGTATCGTGCGGGAGCCCTTGTCGTCGTAGCTGGGCCTCCAAGGGCCCACATTTAGGCTCAAGTCGACGCTAGAGCGGGAGCCTTGTTTTCAGAGAAATTGTAGCCGGCGTCGATGCGAGAACGCGCGGAACCGTTTCCGGAGATCAACAATGATTATTCTTTAGAAACGAGTACTCAACACCAACACCACCACCACCACCAACAACAACAACAACAAGCAGAATCCGCGCCGCGGAGTCTCACTTCAGCGACGCACTCAGGGAAAATGAATGACCATTCGGCCCGCTCGCTTTGAACTTTCGGAGGTCCGTGCAATTTGAGGTCCGCGCGGGGACCAAGACATCCGCGAGGAGCTCCGAACGTTTATGTTCATGCTGGTCTTGGGGAACCGCGCATATGTACACTAATGTATCTGGACCCTGTCCCATGCGGCTATGCCACAAGACAACGACTAAGGGAAACTGGCCGCTGCTCCGGGCGGCAAGTGTTGAAACATGTGTAAATAGAAATATCTATACATATACACATGTGTTTGGGCCGCCATTCGCCACTAAGTGGCACTAAGTGGTGGACAGGCATCAAATAATAGAAGGCACATGTTCCTGGCCCCGACCGGGTCGAATTGACGGGGGACGGGAGCGCGCAAGCAACACAGCAACCAAAAAACAGCAAATGCACTCAAATGTAAACTCCGCAATTTTTGGGGGCCTCTGGCGCGCTGAGCGCGCCATGGATGGAAGGGGCGCCGGAAGCGCCGCCGAAGAGAGTTCAACGCTGACCCAAGAAGTATCCTTGTGGCCCTCGAAAAATTAGTCATATTTGTGTATGTCGCAAGATTACAAACACCACCACAACCTCCATTCCCCCTACCTCCTCTACCCTTCTCTTCCTCTCCTCTGTCCTGGGAGAGGAGGTGATGAGGGGTGAGGGAGGTGATGGTGAATATGTTGTTGGCCCCGTAGTTTGTGTAGTTCGTTGTGCTCGAGCAACTCCGCTGGAGCCACCTGCAACTCACAGATCAACCGTCGGCTACGTCCGGCGCTCTCGCTGTCGACCTCTTATGTTGCATGAGCCCACAAAGTATCATACGCAGTGCCCCTAATAGGATATCACCGCCGGCTGCAAACCCTCTGGCGCGTCAGAAAAGCACATGCGTGTTCGAGCAAATCCATACGAAGGGGAGGGGGTTCTCTTCCACTGACGCGCCGCGCGGGTCCTGAGACATGCCCACGCGTTGCTCAGGTTGCCAGGGGACTCGAACACCACCCGCACGGCACGCGTCCTGGGTGGTGTTGGGGGAGGGGGGGGGAGGGGGGAGGGGGGGGGGAAAGGTGCCCATACCGCTGCGGCAAGCTGGTGGCGTGACGACTTGCGCGCTGGCTTCTGACATGGCGCGGAGCGTTTTGCCACAGGTAATTCTGGCTAGCATCAGCAGGCGCCCCCCCGAGTACAGTCAAACCTAGGCTAGAGAAAACATCCCTCACGAGCACGAAGCACCCCGTCGGCCAAAACGAACAGAACATCCAAGGGTACCCTCCCCAGGACGCACAAAAACGTCCAACAGACATCCAACAAGATGACCAAGATGCACAGGAACATCCAACTAACATCCCCAGGATGCACAAGCACATCCAACAAGCACGGAGCACGGAAGACCACTGGCCCCACGAGCGGAGGCCACCACGAGGCCTCCGCAGGCCCAGGGAGGCGGGGGCCGAGGGCGACCCAAACAAAAAACAGAGGGGGGAGGAGGAGGAGGAGGAGGAGGAGGAGGAGGAGGAGGAGGAGGAGGGGAGGGGGAGGAGGAGGAGGAGGAGGAGGAGAGCCAGGCGGAGAAGGAAGAGGAGGAGGAGGAGGAGGAGGAGGAGGAGGAGGAGAAGGAGAGGAGGAAGAGGAGGAGGAGGAGGAGCAGGAGGGCAGGAGGAGGAGGAGAGGGGAGGAGAGGAGGGGGAGGAGGAGGAGGAGGGCAGGAGGAGGAGGAGGAGGAGGACCAGGAGGAGGGGAGGAGGAGAAGGAGGAGGAGGAAGAGGAGGAGGAGGATGAGGAGAAGGGAGGGAGGAGGAGGAGGAACAGGAGGAGGAGGAGAAGGGCAACCTCCCAGAACCGACCTCGATCCCATGCCTCGGCCCGACTGCCGTCGGGGGCGGTGGCAGCACCGCGACCCTCGGGAGAGCGGGACGCCCCAGGGGGTGCCGCTGGCGGCCACGCCAGGGCGTGGCGACCGCCCGGGAGGAGGAGGAAAGGAAAGAGGAGGATGATGATGATGATGAGGAGGAGGAGGAGAAGGAGGAGGGGGAGGAGGAAGAGGAGGAGAGGAGAGGAGGAGGAGGAGGAGGAGGGGAGGAGGAGAGGAGGGGGGAGGAGGAGGGGGAGAAGGGGAGGAGGAGGGGGAAGAGGGGGGGGAGGAGGGAGGAGGAGGAGGAGGAGGAGGAGGAGGAGGAGGAGGAGGGAGGAGGGAGGAGGAGAGAGGGGAAGGAAGAGAGGGCAGGAGGAGGAGCAGGAGGAGAAGACGGGGGAGGAGGAGGAGGAAGAGGTGGAGAAGGAGGAGCAGGAGGAAGAGGAGTGACGAGAGAAACAGGGGGGGATCAAAAAAGACGACCCTTAGAGGGTATCTGGGGGATCTGCCTGTGCTCTCAGCCCGAAGCCCTGCCGAGCCGTGGTGCACAAGCGCGGCTCTCCGCTGGCGCACAACGCCGACACCGGCCGCTGCTCGGCCTCTGGCGGCGCTCGACCTCGACAGCCCGTGCCGGCACCGTCTCGCTGCGCGAACGCAGCGCGACCCCAGTGACCCAGCGACCCGACGCTCCAAAAAACTGGGACGGCGGGATTTTGGCCGCTTTCGGCATCCCCGGGGCCCTCGCCGGGCCTCGGGAGCTAAAACGGCTCGGGACGAACAACTGGTCCTGGAGAAGTGGTTGGGACATCCGGGGCCCACGCATCGAAAAGATTGGAGCAGCCGGATGAGTGGTGAACTACCGTCCTCCCAGGATGTGCTCTGACCAGGATCCCGAGGCGAGTGCGACCGTGGCGACGAGGACCCCCCACATAGCGTTGCAGAAGCTGCCAAGAGTGTCGAACACAGCACGCGCCCTCGGGTTGGCAAGACCTGAGCAAAGAAAGCCACCACCACCACCACCACCACCACCACCACCACCACCACCACCACCACCACCACCACCGCGAGAATAGATGCTTCCCAAATGGGGTCCGAACACGTGGTGTCAGAGGATCGCGCCGCATCTTCGATGCATCGGCGACTTCGGCGATCCATCGGCGCCGCCGGCGTGGAGAACGTCGGGCTCCACATCGAGCCGCATCGCCGATGCATCGGCGATGCGGCGCGATCCTCCGACTCCATCCACTCCAACCTCTGGGAGGCCAAATAGAGGGACTAATGAGCACTGTCTTGGAGATGTGGTCCTCTTGGTCCACGGCGTCACGCTCGGTACTTCTCCAACTTCCAGCTTGGGGAGGCAACGTGGAGCTCCTCGCGGGAAGGGCCCACTGGTGGTGGTGGTGCCGCTTTTCCTGCCTCGGACAAGACGATCCCAATGCCGCAGTTCCCGGGGAGGGCGCGCCGCTGGATCTCTCCAAGGGGGGGGGGACCCCTCCCCCCACTCCCTTTCCTCGATCCTTCGTCGGGAAACCCCTCCCTCCTCCCCCCCTTCCCCGATCCATCGTCGGGGACCCCCCCCCCTTTCCTGTTCCGTCGTCGGGACCCCCTCCCCCCCCCTTTCAAAAGAATGGGGGGGGTCCGGGGGGGGACCCCCGACCCCCCCCCACCCCCCCCCCTTTCGCCACGCCGCCCTGTGACTCCGGAACCCACCCCCGCCACCCTTAACCCTAGTCCTCACCTTAACCTAAAACCCGAACCCTAACCCCAACACCCCAGCCCCAAAGAGTACTCACTACTCATTACTGACTACCCACTACTGGCTACTCGCTACTCGCTACTCACTTCTCACTACCCCCTACTCACTACTCACGACTCACTATTCCCTATCCACTACTCACAACCCACCACCCACTACTCGCTACTCACTACTCCCTACTCACTACTGCCTCCTCCCTACTTAGTACACACTAGTCATTCCTCGCTACCCACTACTCAATACTCACTACTCACTAGTCACTACTCACTATTCCTTACTCACTACTCACTAATCACTACTCATTACCCAGTAACCACTATCCACTACTCATTACTCACTATTCATTGCCCACAAATCAGTACTCAGTACCCACTACTCGCTACCCCCTACTCCCTATACAATACTGACTACACAGTACTCAGTACTCACTACTCGCTACTCCCATAGTCGATGCCCAATACTCACTACTCATCCCCGCCACTCACTACTCACTACTCACTACTCACTACTCACTACTCACTAGTCACTACATAGTCTCGAGTCTCTAGTCACTAGTCACTACTCACTAATCGCTACTCACTACCCACTACTCGCTACCCACTTATTACTACTCAGTGCTCACTACCCCTACTCGCTACGCACAACGCACTACCCACTACTCACAACTCACGAATCACTACTCGCCACCCACTACTCACTACCTACTACTCACCACCCACTACTTATGACTCCCTACTCCTTACTCAGTACTAACTACCCGCTACTCGCCACTCACTATTCACTACTCACTACTCGCTATCAGCTACTCACCTATCAGTACACACTACTCACTATTCACTACTCAGTACTCCCCATTCCCCACTCCCTACTCCCTACTCGCCACTCACAACCCACTACTCATTACCCAATACTCACTACTCACTACGCACTAACTCACTACTCCCGACCGACTCACTACTCCCCACTCCCAACTCCTTAATCCCTACACACCTTCTCTGGCGCAGAAAGGAGAAGCGAGAGAGGCCCCCCCCCGATTCCCTGTCCGGCGCAAAGGGAAGGAGGGGGGGGGGTCCGACCCCCCCCCCCCCCTTCAAGCGCCAAGGGGGGGAGGGGGGGGGTTCGGACCCCCCTCCCCCCTTTCAGGGAGGGAGGGGGGGGGGCGCCGAAAATCTCACCCCCCCTTGGAGGGGGGGAGGGGGGGGGGTTCTGCGAGCACCCCCCCCCCCTTCAATTACAGAGTGATCCAGTGGCGCGCTTTCGTTCCCGGGCCTTCTCCCGGGGGGCTTGACCAGGACTCCGAAGTGGACCCAGCCGTGGGGACGAGGGCCCCCCAGAAGGCCCAACTCGGCGACAACGAGGGAGGTACATCGACGTCGGTATGCTTCTCTCCTCTGGGCATTCCAAGGAAATCGTGCAAGATCAAACACAATACACATTCTGGGAACATCCTGGCCAGTTGTTCTGGCCCGTGAGGCTGACATGGAGGAATAACGTCGATCTTGTTCTCCTAGGGCGACCGGCGCCCAAGGACGACGTTCAAGCTGGAAAGGGGCCGACCATCACAACGTTCTGCGCCGCTGTTTCGCTTCAAGGCGAATTCGATGGAACAAGAAGAATCATAAAACTAAACTAATCAAACATAAACTTGCGGGCGCCCGCGCGGTCTTGCATGATCGGTGCCAGAACCCTCTCCCTGGCGCGCGGAGCGCGCCGAGGGCAGCGCTGGAGGCGTCCCGAGGAATCCCTGCAGGCCTCCAAGAATTCATGTTTTAAGTCGCAGCGCGGCAGAGGCAGCCCGCACGCGCGCTCAGGCGGTCCAGAAGACGGAAAGCCGCAAATTCACCGGCGGCAGAAGGACAGACAGGCGGAAGCGGACGCGGGGCGGGAGGAGGGAAGGGCAGGGCGCTCACAGTTCGGCAAGCTTCGATTAAGAATCCCCAGTTCGGCTGTGCCCAAGGTTTCATATTGAGGAACACCGGCGGGGAGAAGGCCTGGCCTGCCAGCCTTCCCGTAGGATGCTTGGTGTTGTTTTCTCGACGTTATCGAAGAGACCTTCGCTGGGCTGCTTGGCCCTGTTCCTTTACAGTGTTTGAACATGCCTTCTTGGGGTTGCCTGGGCTTGTCTTCTCACCGTTTCTGCAGAGGCTTTCGGCCCTGTTTTCAAGCAATGTCTCGGATTGGTTGGTCTTGTTGCCTTACTGATTTTGGAACAGGCCTTCCCCAGATTACTTGGTCTTGTTTCCAAGCAGTGTCAAGCAACGCCAAGCAACGCCAGACAACGTCAAACAATGCCAAGCAATACCAGGGAACGCCAAGCAGTGCCAAGCAAGACCAAGCAACGCCAAGCACAACCACGCAAGGTCAAGTTAAGCCAAGAAATGCCAAACAACGCCAAGCAATGTCTAGCAGA